ATTCAGGGTTTTAGATTGGTGTATTTCCTAGCCCCAGAAAAAAGTCCTTAAGGATTGCATCTTGGACTCTACTGCATAGATCTCTCACATTAGAAATGGTGATTGACCCAAGTTTTCAGCATTCATCAAGAATAATTTTAGAGGTAGAAATGTTTTTGATATTCAAAAATTGGATATATTCAGTAAATATTCCAGTTACTTCTGATAGTTACAAACTATGGGCATTTTCAGCATTTTGCTCAAAACATAATTAACACGTTGCTTATATCCGTAGATCTCTAATAAATTTCATTTTGATTCTATTAATTTATTCTCCAAGTGCCAACTTTCTACAGTTGGATAATATTTACTGTGTTTAGCCTGAACAAGACAGTTTGATAATACTAGACTACATTGTGCTGCATCGCTTCCCTGGAGATGAAATAAGAATCCTTGGGGGAATTTGAAAACACTAAAGAAGCCAGGATGACTGACAGACCGACTAAAGAATTTGCCCTTTCAATGTATAAATAAATAATAATAATATTTAGAATATAGCTCTCTGTGTTTTTAAAAAGATAGAACTTGTGGAAGTAGACTCAGTTAGCTGAGATCTGGATTTTTAGAGGAAAAATATTTATAATTCATACATTACATAAAACAGGCTTAATTTAACACTTGCCTGAGTGAGAGATCCGATCCAAAGTTCATATTTGAAAGCAAGAGCCACCATAGACCCATTCTATTGAATTTCTTGGCCAGGAGCTCTTGAAATTGTGGAGTTAAGAAAAATAAGCAAAACTGAAGCATCCCACATTTTGAGCTGAAGGTCAGCATAAGTTGTCTCTCAAGGGATGTAGATACAATAATTGCATCTCCAGAACACAAGCCCAGTACATCCATGAAGGCATGGCCATTTGCAAGGCAATGTCCTTTAGTATCAGAAGTGGTCTTCATCAGGCCTGCATAAGACCTAGTCTGCTGGGAACTATTTGGCAACCCCTTTACTCAGATGGGCAGTAATGATATATTGCGCGTTAACTAGGGTGGGTTGCCCATTCACAGGATAAATGGTTGCACTGATGAAATGAGACCCTTTTGTAGTCTGGATTCCAAAATGGCCTTGACAGCTATGCTGATCCTAGATAAAATGACAGATGCTGGTTCCATGGGAGGGATTATTGCTCAGTTGTAGCACACAAATGTTTTTGTTTGAGGACAGTTCCAGGACCAGGACCAGGACCTTGCATCTTTGGTAAAGAAGTTTTTATGGTGTAGTTTTCTTACTAACCTGGTTTGACTCTGCTTAGCTTTTCAAGTTCGGCTGGCAGCTTAATGTTGCCTCCTAACTAGGTTCATGTTTAAATTAGGAACTATGAAATTAAATTACCTAGCTGTAATTAATTTTCTATCAACAGAAACCACACCAATATATTCAGAACTATTAACCCTATCATTGTTAACTGACCATATGTTTTGGAAGATAACCATGTAAGAGGTTCTGTAACTTAGCTTGGAGAGTCTTTGACTGTACTAAGTCAGACCTGGCTTATTTGTGTTTGGTTTAACAAGTTATGTGAATCCAGCCCCTATGTTTTATAAGCCTTTTTTTTTTTTTGCTTTAACACAATGTATGAACCCAAACAGCTATGGGTTAAACAAACCATGTACTTAGGCAATATATGAACCCACTCAAACCCTGGTTTAAGACCAAAATATAGTACTACTAATATATTACGATGTTTCTTAAGGCACAATACTCACTGATGTCATTTAGATTAATCTCATGTGAGTGTTCATAAGATTGCATTGTTATGAGAGATTGTGAGGAAGCAGAGAAAGGAAGAGAGACCAGACAGAAATACTCAAGAGAGAGAAGGCAAGTCTGTGGGTAGCTTATCTCATAAATAGCAACTCTGCCAGGTTATAAGAAACCTGGGAAGAATCATTCAAAGAGACTCTGTCTTAATGAACCAGGAATGGAAATTTCTCCTACCGTTTCCAAGCTTTTGTATTGTCTTCAGACTAGTATTAAAGATACCTTTACTGAAATCTGTGTAGTCCTTGTTTCTTTGATCTTGCCTAACTGAATAGAGCTGACAATTGTTAAGGCTCACTCTGGAACATACTTAATGGAGAATAAGCTCCGCTGAACACAATGAGATTTTTTTTGGTTAAGTACATATAGGCACTGTAGAGGTACAGATCTATTTTGCCTGTGACATATTTACAAAATATGGTTTTGCTTAAAGCAACTTTCCTGGACCTAGCACCTCATAGATGTTTTAGATTACAAGACCCATGTTCCCCAGCCAGCCCATGAACTGAACTAGCAGGGGAAGAGGTAGGGTTTCAATATATCTAGAGGGCTCTAGTTTGGGAAAAACTAGGTTGAATAAAATTTAAATTTGTTTTCCTGTTTGTTTGCTTAGGTGTCATTTTGGGAATAGTGTTTTTAAACCTCGAACGTAAAAAGAAGAAAGAACAAAGCGCTGTTGCCATCAGGCCCTCTGAACTGCGAACCTTGACATAAAGGGTTAAGTGAAAGTGGACATTCAGGTTTTCATGTTTTACGTTGTTGTTTTCTCCCATCAGTGAATGTCAGAAGCCTTTGCCACAAATGATGCATTTGCTATCTTTCTTTCCCCCAGTTTTTAAGCAGAGGAGTAGAACTTCCCAGTCATATGGAGGCTGTGGAGTCAAAGTGCACATCATGTGAAATGTATGCCAGCATGTAAAGAGCATGAAACATCAGTGACAAGCTACTGTGCAGGATTGGTGGAGGCAACTTCTCCTAGAACTAATACATGCTTGGTGGGAAAGGTTTTCATAGTCCCAATAGTGTTACCCACCATGAATTAAATAAAGTAATAGAAAAGCCTGGCAGGTTAATATCCTATGTAGTTTGGTCTTTAGGGAGAAAAACCAAAATAGAGCAAAAATGACCATCAAATTATGAGCCTGCAACCCAATCCTGCTTAGTCTGATTACCTTTACTCCCTAGTACAGATGTTTAGAAGTGCAACTAAAGTGACAGCTCTTTGCTTTTTTTTTCTAAGAGGAAGCCTTGTTGAACACAGTGTGGTTTACTTCCAAATAAATACATATAAAAGTTGTGTTGTGTATAATTCCCAATTTGGTGCCACACAAGTATATGCCATCTCATCCTGCTTAAAGGTAAAACCAACCTTCATATACTGAAAAAGAAGCACAAATACTCCTCACAGGTTAAACAGGAATCTGTAAAGACCTGCCACTGAAATTAGTCACTGTTCCTTAATTCCTTTAGTAAATATTGACTGTTAAAAGGCAAACTTCACTTTCCTTCAGCTCTGTTTGTTCTAGAGATGGCCTGATCAATTTTACAGCAATTCAGATATGAAAGGAAATTAATAAGCCTATCTTGAATTCCCATAAGTTTATATTGAACTGAACCTTGTGATAACTGCGAGTGAGATGTTTTCTTAGAATTTCATCCTTTTTTGCTGATATTCTGAACTATTCTGGACTGTTTCTGGGCACTTCAGCTTCTCACAACTGATAAATAGAAGGGACCAGAACATAACTATCCAAGACTGCATTTTATAGGCTCCAACCTTAGATCTCATTAAGGAATATCAAAAGGACTATACAGTGGGACCTCTAGTTACGAACTTAATCTGTTCCGTGACTCTGGTTGCAACTCGAGTTGGTCTCAAGTCGAGGTAAAGTTTCCCATAAGGTTCATTGTAAATCCGGTTAATCCATTCTGCCCTCCAAATTTGGTCGCACCACAAGGCAAATTTCCCCATAAGGTTCAATGTAAATACGGCTAAACAGTTCTGAAACATATGCATTTTATTTTTAAACCTCAAAAACCTTCCAAATGCCACAAAAACCTTCCAAATGCCACAAAACACACCACAAGCCTCACCGAACGTCTCCTTGCTACCGCGATCTCACCAACAGGAAGCCACGACCACGTGGCAGCAGGGAATATGGCCGCGGATCCGGTTTGTAAGTAGAGGCAAGTTCGTAAGTAGAGGTAAATTTTTGGGGCCGGAACTGGTCGTATCTCGAAAATTTTGTAAGTA